TCAGCTTTCTCTCACTTCTTTCCAACACTTCACTCCATACTTTCACTTCTTTATTTTTTGCACCAAGAGGCATTCCAAGATATTTAGTTGGTAAGGAATCCATTTGGCATCCTAGGTTCTCAGCAAGTATCTGCATATTGGTAACTTGGTTAACAGGGTACCAGCAACTTTTATGCCAGTTAACATGTAAACCTGAGATGCCCTCAAAAATGGTTAGGATGGCCCTCAAGTGCCTGATTTGCATTACTTCAGCTTCACAGAATACCAAGGAATCATCTGCATATAACAGATGTGTGATTTCCATAGTATTTCCCCTGTTAGCATTTGCAGGGAAGCCTCTTATCCACCCATTCTCACTTGCTCTTCTGATCATAGAATTGAGGCCTTCCATTGCTAAGATGAATAGGAAGGGTGATAACGGATCACCTTGCCTTAGACCTCTTTGTGATTGGAAGAAACCTTCTGGACTACCGTTGATGATAAGAGAGAATTTCACGGTAGATATACAAGTTTTGATCCAGTTTGTCCATTTGTTCCCAAAGCCCATGTCTCTCAAAATTTTTAGAAGGAAAAACCAGTTGACATGGCCATAGGCCTTTTCAATATCAAGTTTACATAGGACACCAACTAGCTTCTGCTTCACCCTACTGTCCACTAATTCATTGGCCAATAATACTGCATCCATGATCTGTCTTCCTTTCAAGAATGCCATTTGGTGTTCATCTACCAATTCTCCCATGACAGTCTTCTGAACTTAAACAACCGGCTTTCTCTTGAGCAAAATTGACATCCCTTGCTGACAATTTCTCTATTAGCTTTTCATGATCTCGAGTCAGCTCAAATTATTCTTGTAACGTCCTTCAAATCCCTTTCTTAAATCAAAACATTACCATGATAAGAAAACTCAAATGTTAGTGTATGATAAAAGTGAAAGAATGAGATGAATGGAAAATGGTTGGGAAATGTATTTACCTGAGCACAAGCTTGAGTAGCTACACTGAACAGGCACGCAAGGTAAACCTCGTCCATCTTGCCTAGATATTTTTTAGTAATCAAAGGTTTTAAATAATTGGCCACCGCGTTCGATTCTAAAGAATGTGAGCCTTTTCATAAACCAACAAAAGGTGACAATTCGTTTTTTGTTTGCATGTTACACTGGAGCAGGGAAGGTGTTTGCTAACCTGTATCTAGAAACATAGGGCTTGAAAGTTTAGTAAGGTTTTGCAGTCGGAGGTGGGGTCCGAGTAATTGTAGCAAAAATGGATGAGGTCGGCTTTTTAGGAGCAACGTAAGATGATGGTGAGGCATTTATCTCATTTACCCAAATTTATTGTCGGTTGGAACAGAATTGTCATGACCCAAGACTATTCTCTAGACGTGACATGGTACTTAGAATCTCAAGAGACTCCAAGCGAACCATATGACATAACATGACACTAAAAAGGCATACATAACTGAGATAAAGAGATAAGCGAAATCAAAGTCTCGAATGAAATCTCATCATAATACCGAATCAGAGTACAAAGACCATAATGCGAAAATACTATGTTTGACCACAAGCCTTTACTACATAAGAGTGACAGGGACAAGCCCTAGCTCACTTGAACAATCTGAAAACGAAAATAAGTCTTAATGACACGAAGCATAAGTGTGGTCATGTCTGCGAACCATAAAGACTCACCAAGTTCTATTAAGCTGATAGGATCCAATGCTAACCGCGACCTGAGTGATGTGCGTCAGAACTTATATTATAAAACAATATAAGCACAAGAAATGTATGTGGTCAGCACTTGGAATGTACTGAATATGGGGAAAGGTGCATGAGTATAGCATGATAGCATGATAAGTCAGAAAACATGATAATGCAATGACCAAGTAAACATAACATAAATCTGATCATATGATTTCATAAAACATAGTACAAGGTCATGCACTCTTCTTTAAATCATAATCATAAGTCTTTGAGGAAGTCATAAATCTTTGTGGGAGTTGTCGTCAACCAACATAAACCATGTGAGTTATAACGTGTAGTTTAGTGTACTACTCCCACACCGAAAAGAGAGTGTCCTACTTGCCAAGGTAAGAACCATAATCACGAGCTTAGGTGGATCCACTAGCTATTGTCCAATCGGGACATATCCTACGGGGCATGTAGTTCTGGGACATGGTAATCGCCACCAGTCCAACTCGGTGCTAAGTAAACTCTCAACGGGAAACATCCATAATCATAATCATATCCATATTTATATTCATAATCTTTGAAATGGTAAGAATTTAGTAATACCAAATCATTCATATATAATCATAAGAACAACTCCTTTAAAATTATGATTTCATCACATATTCATAAGGGACACTTTAATTGAAAGCATCTAAATCATGAGTCTTTTCATAGTAAGAATTACTTCAATCGGAAGTATCTAAATCATGTCATTCTTTCATAAAGGAGGTACTTCAATCCGAAGCCTCAATTTTCATAAAAACTGATTGATAATTTATTCAAAAGCATCCTTGATTCATAGAATCTTTCATATCGTAATGCATGCAAAGCAACAAAGCTTGAATCATATCATAAAATACTTGCATGACATGGGTTCATGAAAATATCATTGAAAACATTGAAATATGATCAAATCATGCATAATAAGATCAATCATAATGAATAAACTTGAAATCAATTGAACCCATGGAAGAATCATAAAAACCCTAGAATTGGTTAAGAATCATAAAGTAGAAATTTAGGTTTCTTTGGGACTCAATGGGTGAAGAGGAACCCATTGATGAATTTCCCACATACCTTGATCAAAGCCCTAATGGAAGTCTTCAATGGAGGCTTGGAATACTTGAACCCTAGCTTGCTTGGAGAGGAAGACTTGAGAGAAAATTGGAGTTTGAGAGAATGAGAGTGAGCTGGGAGGGGTTTGGGTCTTAGAATCAGTTATAGGTCTCCAAAATATGCCTAAAATGACGTAGTATAGAATAAAAAGAGTAGGAAAAGACCCAAATAACCCTAAGAATTAACTGCCGAACACACTCCACGGACCCATCTACTGTCCGTACCCTCTTCCATGATCCGTCATCTCTTGTATTGTCCGTGTAGCCTCCTCATAGAACAAGAGTCTGGAAATTACCCTAAGTTCAGCTCACCAACCACGAGTCATTTGTACGAACCGTATTTCCTTCAACGGTTTGTATGGAACCTTCGTAGAACACAGGTACTAAAATTTCATGTTTCTAAAGGCTACAACCACGGGACCAGCTACGGATCGTCAATCCATCCACGAGCCTTACTGGTGGCTTGTATGATTTGATCTGAGACTCAACATTTTCCAAACTTCCAAGGCACTGTCCACAATTGCCATCTACGAGCCGTAGAATCTCACACGGCCTGTACACTGGCTCGTCCAGCTCTGCACCAGCAACTTTCTGCAACTTTTAACTTTCCAAGTTACCTTTTACACTTTCAATGTGTTACAAAAAGGTAGATGTAAACGATATCCAACCAATTCTACATTATCGATTTCCTTAAACAAGCAACCAACTGTCCGAGTGTTGTGACCCGAGAGGCTGATGACCTTGAAAGAGGCAAATTGTCATCAACCGATTTCATCATCATTGATGTTCCACAACTGTGAGTTTCGTGGTTCCTGCCATTGAGGTAGAAAGGAGCTATTCTTCACCCTGATTAACGAGTGAGGCATGATTGCTTTTGCATATCTTTTGCGGCATAGAGTTGGAGGCCACCAGGGGCTCCTCAACCATGGTAGCCGATTTTGAAAGTCGCTTGTGTCTGAGAACCTATTGAACTTGCTAATGGACTTTTGCTAGGGTAATAGAAACCCTTTAGGTACGTAGGTCGGAAAACCCCCCTGAAATCATGTTAGAAGAAAAAAGAGACAGACATGTTAGCTAGTCCATACAGAATCCTGCACAAATCACGACGGGATTACAGATGATCCATAACAGTATAATGCCCAAACAGAGCGTTTCTATTGGACGGTATACTATGAGGCCCAAGTGGAGCAATTTCATTGGTTGATGTACTCTACTGGTTGCCTATAAATTGTTGAACTATTCTCTTGCAAATGGGTTGAAATTCTTACATTACAAGGCATTATATTGATATTTTCTCAACCTTAAGCTTTCTTTCACCCTTTTCTCGTTTAAGGCAAACTCAAAGATAACATTCGAACTGAAACCTCTGATTCCGGAATCAACACTCAAAGTTGCCACCTGAACTACAGCAGTAGCAACAACACTGTCGATTTTACTGATTTGTTCGCTTATTTAATTAAATTCTTGTTCTTTACACGCTTTCCAAACTATGTATTTACTTTTAATCTCTATTTTGCTAGTCAATCAATCTGTGTGACCTTAACCTCGTCACAAATTCGACTATTTTCGAGTGAACAAAAGCGTGTATGTTTTTTCCGAAAACCTAAATAATCAAGTGAAGAGTGATTATGAAAATGTATACTAAGAATAATTTTCTTTCTCTTAAAGAGAAATTTTAATACAAATATTTTCTATATAGGAAGAAAAAGAAATTCTTTTCATTTGTCTAAAACATGTAGAAAACATTGTACTTTTAACTATTCTCCTAGTAAGCTAAATAATGTTAAGACTGTTGACCAGAATTAAGTTACAGTAGGTGTAGATATGATGGCACTTACATTTGGATGCTCTCAATCAGATTACAGTTTGATAGCCAGCACCTGCCAACGTGTGGGGGTTATTATTGTCATTTTCCTCATATCTGAATCTCACTCATCATCACAGCTACTCTATCATCCCACATTTTTCACCCAGTTTGTTTTTACACTCTATTAAAGTGAACAAACTATCCAAACTTTGAATGCCATTCGCAACAGTTCACCTATGTTCTGAAGGCATGTTCTAAATCTCTCTTTCTTTTCCATTCTTTAAGGTTGTTTTTTGGTTTAAATTTTTATTCGAGTTGGATCTTGATTCCATAAGTTGTTGTGGCCTTGTGGGTATTAAAAGAGTTTGTGTACACCTGCGGATCTTTCTTTCCCCCTTTTTTGGCACTTGATGGAATTGAACTGCAGAAACAATTGAGTTTTTCCCATACAGGTCTGAATTTATGCTTATCTGAATTTTGTTTCTTGGTTTTCAGCATTTCAATTAGTAGTGAGGTATGATCAAATGCAGATCTTTTTGTTCTTTAAGTTTAAATCTTTGTCGAGATTGGTTTTAATTTACTTGTGATTTATAATTTTGTTATCGCAAGGATTTTCATTTCTCGTTGTGCTCTAATCGAAAATGTAGCTTCTTTTGGAAAATTATTGCAGCTTTTTTTTTACCTGCGTATGTTAAATGTAAATAATGCCTTGGTTATTCCGTCTTTTCTAATTACAACGAGAAAATTGGGTTTCGGGGCATCTAACCTGTAAAATCTAGATACATGATTAGTAGTTTGAGAGATTGATGGGAAGGATTTTTTAAATTTTTTTTTGACAAAGTAAGAAGTTTCACTAAAAACATCCAGAAAATGCAAAAGAGAAGTACATTTGAGCTTTCAAACTTATGAAAATAAAGTTAGGAGAACAGCCTGACAAGATCTCAGAATTAAATTTCCTCACATTATTTGGAAGGCAATTGAAAAATGTATGGATATTGGGTTGGAAGGATATACTGTATTAGGTAGGATATTCATGACCTTACCTTTAATGAGAAATCAGACATCACTGGCAAAGTTGAGTAACAGATGGCTTTAGTAGACAGGGACCTTCCCCCTCCCCCCGAACACACACAAAGAGAGAGAGAGAGAGAGGTGTGGGGTCAGCGCTGGCTTCCAGGTTATCAGAGGTGTATCCTGGATTGTATGAGGATGGGTGCACTGTACTATCATTTTATTTTTTTTGAGAATGGTAGACTTCACTTTTATATGTCCACAGGTATACTGCAAAGTGTAGTTTCTCATCACAAAAGTTGTCACTTTACAGAATCCTAATAAACCTAATCACAGCCAATCAATTGCATTAAAAACATCTTCTGTGCTGTCTATAACTACTTGTTTACACCAAAAATAATAAAGGCGCCTAAGCAGTCTGTCCTAATCTTATGTATGTTGCTCTTTTTGCCTTCAAAACATCTATGATTCCTCTCTTTCCATATAGCCCACCATATACATGCAGGGACCATCTTCCATCTCTTCTCCTTCCTCACTGCATTGCCATCTCTATTCCAGCTTCTTAGCACTTCTTTGATTCTCCCAGGAGTCACCCACCTGATCTTCCTCTTGTAGATGAACATCTGCCACAGCTGGTCTGTCCATATGCAGTGCAAAAAGAGATGGTTGACTCTCTCTTCGTGTTCTTCACATAGGTAGCATCTAGATCAGAGGTTGAATTTCCTCTTGTTCAGGTTTTCATGGGTGAGGGCTGCTTTCTTTGCCAATAACCAGGTAAAATAATTTACCTTATAAGGCTTTTTGGTCTTCCAGATCAATCTCCATGGCCACCCTATCTCTTTGATATTTGTTCCTGACAAGTCTTTGTAAGCTGACCTGACAGTAAAAATACTTTTGCTATATACCTTCCACACCAAGCTGCCCTTCTCTTCTGTAAGATGAAGCTTTGAGGGACTGTATTCTGAAAAGCTGCTATAATGTTTATTCCCAGTCATTGAGGTTCCTTCTAAGAAGGAGGTTCCACCCTTGTCCTGTCCATAGGTCTGCCACAGTAGCACCTGATATTGGCATAGGTTGTATAGCTCAGGAAAAGTCTGCTTCAAGGACATTTCCCACACCATATATCCTTCCAGAAATCCACCTTCTCTCGATTTCCATCCTTGCAAACTGTTTTGTAAGAGGTGTGTCCTGGATTTTAAGAAGATGGGTGCACTGTACTATCGTTTGGTTTGATTCCATAAAATTTTGCGATAAGCAAACTATTATCTATACTATTATAAAATCATATCATTCAAATTTACAACTGTTATTAATAAGTCTCATACCTTGGAATGAACCATAATAAACCACCAAGCTCTCCTCCATGGCCGTGCAATAGAAACAGTTTGTCTCCGGCGAACACTGCAATACCTGATCACCGTTCATGGCACGATGTGTACGAAGAGTAGTGGGTGGCTATCATACCCTTTGTATAACTCAGGGAGAATCACACCCCAAAAGCTAGCTATTGAAGTGGGAGAGCCCAAGGTTATATAAGCCCCACAACGACACATTTCAGTACCGATGTGGGACTCAAATCCCATGCATATTTTTGTGCTTTTAGGTGCTAAGTTTTAATCTAAAATTACTTGTGTTTTTCAGCTTTTTTTGGAAGAGGATTGACGATCCATCAGTTTTACTTGCTGTTTAGCTTTCAATTTAGAATTTAGTCATATACATATCCCGCTACTAACTATCATTGGTTCTGTTGTTGAAAACTTGTTATCAACACTCTATTTCTCCCAATTTATATGACACTCTATTTCTGGACATTACAAAATATTTGATATCATTTCTCTTATTAATTCCTTACTGTAAGGATAAACTAGTATTAGGTTGATAGTTAAGTTACACAACACTTCTTTATTCAGGTCTGAGATCATCAGTGTGAGTTCACATAGATCATTCATATGTGTATGCTCTGTTTCCACGTCAATAGTGCGATAGTCTTATAGACGAAGACGCAACACATAAGTTAAAGCCCTACTGTTGAAAACGAGTGGTATGCGATAAGGAGATACATACCAGCGTGAAAGATAGGTTTTATAAGACAGTTGTGAGACCAATGATGGTGTATGGCGTGAATTTTGGGTATCTATGGTCCGACATATAAAAAAATTGAGTGTTGTAAAAATGTGAATGGTATGATGGTGTGTGGTCGTACAAAACTAGACAAAATAAGTGATGATTATGACAAGGAACAAAAAGCACATGTAGAAGATAAAAGGAAAGAAAGCCCTGAATTATAGTTTGGAAATGTCTACATTAGAAGTTCAAATGCAACGGTGTAATACTATGATGGTTGAATGTTAATGGATGAGATAAACAATTCAATCACATGGACAAAATTGTCAAAAGGGACTTACAAGTTCTTGAGATTCTTGTTGAATTAGCAAAAAAACAAAATATAAATGAAGCACATGACCCATAGTAATTCCAATGGTTAGGATTAAGGTTTATTTTATGTTGCAACACTTTTATTAAGTATGTTGTTTGCCAGGAGTCCTTTTTGTTCATTACTGTTTTACATTTCGGTAGAAAATATAAATAACCTTTAGTAATAGAGAATTCATAATAATTATCTTAGTATTGGAATGGAACTGCTACAAATGGAGCAGAATGGATATTGAGTGTTCCTATAGCCGACCTCAACTAGTTTAGCTTTTGATTCATAGCTGTTGTAAAGTACAACTCCACCTCAGTCCCAAACACGTCGGGGTTGGCTATATAGATCCTTAATGTCCATATCACTTCATTTAAGCTAGTTGTTAAGTAGTATTGAAAATTTCAACCCGGGTAAAGTGGAATTCGGTTGCAAAGGAACCATATGAGATTAAGGCATAGTTATTATTGTACCCTTACTAGTATTGTTTATATATCTTTGACAAGTTTTAGGAATTCATTCAACGAATAGTAGTCAAACTTTGACATGGTGTTTTTCCTTTCACCTAACTTTATGACTAGTACTACTTTAGTATCTTTTAACTACTCTTTGCTAAAATATAGTTCCGACAATGTTACGTCCTCCTTTTTGTATCATTTTACTTTTGGTAATGACTATTTTTTTCCCAAAATGTGATACTTCCTACAGCTATGGCTGCAAAACTTAGTTCTTTGTCATTATCTACAACCAACTTAAGATCCACATCATATTTTCCTAGTTTCTTCACTTTGGGAAGTACTCCTCAAACGTATTTGTACATTCTTCTATGTTACTTTGTATTGCAGGGCTTAACTTTTTGTTCTTCATAGTCTGAGTTTATTCACAAGAATACAAAATGGCAATCAGCAACATTAATTTGACTTCAGGAATTCAAATATTCTTCATGGATCTGGAGAAGTAATAACCTTTCTTGTTTCTACAGGAGTTTAGGAGATTGAAGTTTTTGTGATGGAGGGAGGAGATTTTCCTGTTAGGAGATGGGAGGACCTTGATAATGATATCTGGGTGAAGATACTCCAGTTTTTTGACCTTTTTGAATTGTCTGCTGGACTTGCTCATGTTTGTAATGTGTGGCAATTGGCTCGTTGTGATCAACTTCTCTGGGAGACACTGAACTTGTCGGTACTAAACTCTAACTTCATCAAAAAAATATCCACTTCTTTTCCTAGCAATTTTACTCTTTATTTGGAAGTCAGTGTTTGGCCTTGAAAATTTCAAATCCAACTTGAACTTATATTTCAAATTTGAAACAACTTATAACCTGTTTTTCAACTCATTTTTCACTTTTGAAGCTGTATCTCAAATTTGAGAAGTACATTCAATGATGAATATATGGCCAAGCGCCTACTTATTCTGGAGAAGCAAAAATTATTGTGAAAATGAATAAGATTCTCTCTGAAATTAGAGAAATATTAAATATAATTCTATATTGGATAGAATTTACCAGTCAATTTTAACTTTGATTTTAAGAAAGAAAATTAAAATAAGTCATAAGCATAATTTATTCAATTTGCATAAGGCATAAGCTTCCGTTCAAGTAATGAAAATGCACTAAATGAGGTGAATCAGAGAAAATGTCGGACCTCACAGTGTGTACTAGGTCCACATAAATGCTCTTTCTGACTGTCACTCTCCGTATCAGATGGCCCTATAGTTCAGGGTTTAACTACAATACCCCATAATTTAAGTGCTGAAATCTGCCCCCAAGGCCTAGCTCAAGTGGCAAAAGGTGGAGGATTTGTGGCTTAGGTCGCAGGTTCAAGCCCCACACCATGAAAAGCGAAGCCCGGTATTTAAGTGGAGAAGGGTAGAGGGGCGGGCCCATTATCCACCGAGTTTAGAAGGCTGTGATTGGTCCAAAGGGCGGGTCACAGACGGATTTCTCGGTTATCAAAAAAAAAATAAAAAAAAAATAAAATTCAAGTGCTGAAATGATAAAATGTGAATAGTTTAGGGAGTTTAAAATTAAAGGTATTAAGTCAAAAGAAAATCTCACTTTGATCTTCCTTTTTTTGTCATTTATCAAAAAAACAGGTAGGATGTCTCTGAAGCAAAAAATGAAAAAATGTTAGACTGTTGACCAGAATCAAGTTACAGGTATGAGAGATATGATGGCACTTCCATTTGGCAGTGAGGAGTTGTAGGTACTCTTTATTATTAAAGTTTGACAGCCAACACCTGCCAATGCGTGGGGGATTTTATGGTCATTTCCTCGTATCGGAATCTCACTCCTCATCAAAGCTACACTATCATCCCACAGTTTTCACCCAATTATTTCACACACTGAAGTGAACCAACAATCTAAAGGCATGTGCTTAATCTCTCTCTGTCTTTGTTTTTTCCTTACATTCTTTAAGGTTGTTTTCCGGATTAATTTTTGACTCATGTTGGATCTTGATTCCAAAAGTTGTGGGTGTCAAAGGAATTCGGTGTACACCTTTTGGAACTGTTGTTTTCCTTTCTCTGGCTATTTGGTTTTTTCCCTTACTGATTTGAATTCAAGGTTGTCTGAATTTGTAATCTTGGTTTCCTGCAGTTCAATTATTAGTGTGGTAATAATTGAAATGCAGGAAACCAAGATGTACAAATTTAGACAACCTTGAATTCAGATCTGTAAGGCAAAAATCAAATAGCTAGAAAAAGGAAAACAACAGTTCCAAAAGGTGTACACCGAATTTAAATCTAACCTATAAGCTCTGTAGATAGATGATTAGTTGTTTGAGAGAAAAGATTTATGTAGGCTTCATATGAGTAGCTAAAACTCTAATGTTAGTTCCCTCGCTATGGAAATCAGGTGACAAATAGCACTTTCGACTAAGTTGCGCGGACTCTTCATTTTTGTTGTCGCACCCGTGTCGGCACAAGGCAGGTGGGGTGTGGGTGCGGATACGTGTGGGATTCGGTCAACCCACGTTGGATACTTTGACCAGAGTCCATGGACAAATTTGGGGGGAAATTGAGATTTTGATAAAAGATAAAATAGATTTAAGACATGGCATACTTTTAATGTTATAGTCCTTTTGTCTCTTTTTTAGCTTTTCCTCTTGGTCAATATTTGTTGCTTCATGTTTCAAGCCAAACACAGAGAAACTAAGAATTCAAGCGGTTGTGTTCCAACTTTTGGTAGACAGTTGGAAGACCTTGAATGACTTCCTTTTTCTTTTTTGAGGGGAAGAGCCCTTGAAAGTTGGGGGTGTTGGGAAAGACGATCTAAAAGATCTTTCAAAATTTAGAATATCTTTATAGCCCTATTTTATAAATTTTGGATTTTTAGCCGAATCCTAGCACCTATTTCCATACCTGGATATGTAACCCCGAATCTTAAAATTTAGATTTTGCCTAATCTGACCCTCAAATTCGCATCCGCGTCGCATACTCGCACCCGAGTCCTAAGTTGCTCAGACTTGGGTGCGGATAAAATCTAAATCTTACGATTCAGGGGGTATGGATGGGTGTTGGGGTTCGGCTAAAAAGGTTCAAAATCATGAAATAGAGCTATAGAAATATTCTAAGAAAGATATTTTGGGTCTTCTTCCCCAAGGCCCCAACTTCTTCTTTCAAGCTCTCAGATTCTTCCCCTCAAAAAAGAAAAAGGGAATCTTTAATTCTTAGTTTCTCTCCATTTGACTTAAAACATGAAGCAACAAATATTGACCAATAGGAAAAACTACAAAGTAGAGAAAGGACTATAATATTGAATGTGTGCCACTTTCCATGTCTTAAAATCTATTTTATCTCTTATTTTGAGAAATCAAAATCTTAAATAAGAAACAAATCCAAAGACCTAGGAATTCTTTGTAAGCTAGTCATAGAGAGCTGATGATCACTTGAAATGAAAATATTTGTGGCGCACAATCAGGAGGATGGGATTTGGCAACACCGGAATAAAATGGATGAGGTTTTGTATGACCACTATGAAGTTCTCAGTTTTGATCAATGGTTCACCATCTGGCTTCTTTTCCTTTGAGATAGGATTGAGACAAGGAGACTCCTTTTCTCCTTTTCTATTCATCCTAGCTATGGGAGGTGAGGTCTAAGTGATATGTTGAAGATTGCTCAGGTTAAAAACTGAATTAAGGGCTTCAAGGTGAGTGAGGGGGATTCACTGGGAGTATCTATCTCCCAGTTACAATATGTTTGTTAGAATATGAATAGCTTTATACAATCCTATTAGAATAAGAGTAGGTTTATACAATCGTAGTAGAATAGGAATAGGTTTATACAATCCTATTTAGAATAGAATAGGAATATAAATAGTAATAGAAAATAGTATCCTACTTGGTAAATGATTGTATTGTAGTGTCTATAAATAGGGTCTCAATGTAATAATGTAGACACAACAACAATTCAATAATATTTTTTCCTATATTTCTCACATGGTATCAGAGCCTCTACGATCTTGGTAAACAATCAAAGAGCTTCCGCTGTCGGCGGGGGCTATTACCCATATATGTCGCCCGTCTGGCCAACAATTATGTTAGCAAAAGTTGGGTCACCGTGTATCTTTCCGGTGACTATTTTCTCATATTTGATTTATGCAAGCACCGTGCCATCATTCCGGTGACTACTTTCTTATATCTAACTTGTAGCATTGTGCCATCTTTCCAGTGACTACTTTTTCATATTTAATTTGTGTAGTAGCACTGTGCCATCATTCCAGTGACTACTTTTTCATATATAATTTGTGTAGCACCATGCCATCCTTCCGGTGACTACCTTTTTTTTGCATATCTGATTTGCGTAGCACCGTGCATCTCTCTGGACTACTTTTCATATTTAATTTATGTAGTACCGTGGATTTTCCGAACTATTTTCTCAAATCTGAGTTGCATAGCATCATGTGTTTTTTCAGTGACTACTCAACATTTATATTCTCAATCAACAGAAAATGGCTACAATTCTAGAAGTCAGAAATGAACTAAGGTGGAACCTGACCTTCAGAAGGTTCCTCAATGACTGGGAAGTGACAAAATGACGCAATTCTACAACACCTTGGAACAAGCCAAGAACCTCACCTGTGAGGAAGACAAATTGATACGGAAGTTGGATAAAGATGGCAAGTCCAAGGTGAAATCAAATTTTAAGTTACTAGACATTTCAACTAAAACCAAGGAGTTGTGGCCTTGGAAGATGATCTGGAAAAGGAAGATACCACATAAGGTGACTTGTTGCAAGACAATCAATTCTGACTCAAGATAACTTAATACAAAGAGGAGACAGTTATGCTCCTGATGTTTGAGACAATAAACCTTTTTTTTTTGCATTGTGAAGTAACTGAGAAACTATGGAAGTATTTCATTAACTTGAGAGGTATTACATGAACCATGCTAGAAATACTGCAGAAGTCCTAGCATGTTGGAATAGAGATGGAAATCAGTCAGGACACAAGGAGAGATAGAAGATTGTCCCTGCCTACATTTGGTGGACAATATGGAGGGAGACAAATGAGAGATGTTTTGAGAACAACGTCCCTTTCCAAAGCATTAAAATGAATTGTTTAGTACCCAAGGATCCGGGGGACATCACCTATTCTTAGATAGTTTATGAGGGAGATAGGTGTTTAGACTCTTATTGACAATCCCTCTATACTTTTGATGTAATTACTACAGGTGTTCACTATTGTCTATTGGTGTACTTTATAATACTAGTTAACTTTCTCAAAATAAAAAAATCTCAATTTCCCTCCCAAATTTTTCCATGGACTCTAGTCAAAGTATCCGCGTGGGTTGACCGTATTCCACACGTATCTTGAGTAATATCGATGTTCCTTAATTGACTGTTTATACTTCACTTGATACTTTACTCATTTGAGAAACATGATGTATGGTGAGAATTCTAATTTGTTTATGAGAAGAAGACAAGAACCACAGTGAAGTATCATTTCATTCAAGTTCTCTTTCTATCCATCTTTTAAGTCCTTGGATGAATATTCTGCATCCTGAATATTTGTACTCCCTATGTTCCAATTTATACGGCTCTTTTCCCATTTTAGGATGTTCCAAATATTTTGAAACATCCTATTTATAAAATTATGACCGCTTTTAAGAATTTAAGATGTATAAATTATTCCCTCTTTAATTTTAATGTGATATCTCTTTTCAACCATTAATTTATTAGTTTCTTCCACTATCAGTATAACACCAAATTAACACGTTAAATGTCTTGATCAGTCAAACATCTTCACAAAAAATGAAATGAACAAAGTACTTAAGAACAATAAAGGAATCCCTTCTGAATTATGTATACTTCAACCTGGATGATTGATTTAGAAGTTTGATATTCATCAAGACTCCTTATATTTTATACTCATAGACTATCAATTTCATTTAGGTCCTCTCACCTTTCCTTCAAACATATTTTTGTGCTTTTAGGTGTTAAGTTTTAACCTAAAAGTACTACTTTTTCAGCTTTCGTCAGAAATTGATTGAAGATCCATCATGTTTTCTTGCTAGTTTAGCTTTCGATATAGAATTTAGTCATATACAGACCCCGTACCAACTATCTTTGGTTCTGTTGCTGAAGACTTTCTATAAATACTCCTATTGTCCCAATTTGTATGATGCTTTATTTCAGGACTTAACAAAACATTTGATATCATTTCTCTTATTAATTCCTTACTGTGAGGATAAACTAGTATTATGTTGATCGTTTGTTTGCCACAACACTCCTTTATTCAAATCTGGGATCATCAAAAGTGAGTTTACAAAGATCGTTCATATGTCTAGGCTCATTTCCAGGTAATAAGGAGATAGAAACCAGAGTGAAATAGGTTTTGTAAGACAGTTGGGAAACCAATGATGGCGTGAGTGCATATCGGGAAATGATTGTTGTAGAAATGTGAATGGTATGATGGTGTGTGGTATTACTAAACTAGAAAATATAAGTGATGATTAAGGTACAAGTAGCACATGTAGAAGATAAAGGAAAGAAGGTCCTGAATTATAGTTTGGAAATGTCTACCATAGAAGTTCAATTGCACTGGTGTATAGGTTTGACACTATGATGGTTGAAGGTGTTAAAATGGACGAGGTAAACATTACAATCACATGGACGGAGTTGTCCCAAAAGACTTCCAATTTTTTGAGATTCTTGTGAAATTAACAAAATACAAAAATATAAATGATGCACTAGATGCATAGGTAATTCTAATGGTTAGAATTAAGGTTTAGTTTATGTTGCTACACTTATATTAAGTATGTTGTTTGCCAGGATCTTTTTAGTTCATTACTGATTTGTATTTCGATAGAAAATATAGAAAAACCTTTGTAATAGAGTATCCTTAATAATTATCTGAGTATTGGAATAGC